TATTGTGGTTATTTAGAATGATTTGATCTTGTAATTTAGTTATGCATTTCACACACATATTTAGTTTTGTTATATAGTTGCATAACTTACAATAATTACAACAATTGTAACATCATATGATTATCGCCGTTCAATCTGCAAGTTTGATGAGTAATTTTAAAAATGAGGGTTTGCGCAGTTGCTCGATGTTACATGGCCCTATTGGGAAGTATACTTGAGAGTTGAGACTCAAGTTTTTGTTTTTCTCGTGGTTTGTCTTTTTTGGTTTTGCTAAATACTTCTCGTTATGTCATCAAACGAGTTTAAATCTGCATAACGCATATGGTTAGACAAAAAAAAAAACACTTGTTGTAATTGACGGCTGAGCTCGCCAAAATAAAAGGCAATTGAATAATGTACAGACAAAAATGTTAAAGAAAACACACAGATTTATTAGAATCCTTGATAAGGAAGGCGAGAATGTAAATCCCTGGATTTTGTAGATTATCAGTGCAATTTGGAACAAGAGTTACGTTATGGTGATTTTATGGTAAGTAATTAATTTTTGTTTTAGGTGGAAAAATAGTATCCAAGGGAGGAGTAACGAACAAGATTGCTGCATCAATGAGTCTATTTGCTTTGGTTACAAATCTGCTTTTCTGAATTCATTAATCTTTTGGTATCACAAAATCGAGGCGTTTGGCCGAAGAGGATGTGCCGGAGATAAAAGGGGTTTGTGATTTTGAGTTTTTAATAATTAAAAATATAAATCTTCGTGTGATTTGGTGTGGGATTTTAATGGATTTAGTATGATTTGCTTTTATGTGTGTGTGTTGTTTTCTTAATTAAATCTTGTTAATGTCCTTTGAAAGATCCTTTTGAACTAATATATCATTAATAAGTGGTATCATTAGATGTGCTATAACATATTTGTTAAGTTTTCTGATCAAATGACCGTGTTTCCTTATAGTACTCTCGCACATATCAGGGGAAATATATAAGGGAAAAGAAAGATAACAATACAAAGATAACGTAACCAACCATGCCGTTACCTTCTTTCTTTTTGAAACTTTTTTTATTGAAATTTGGAGGAGAAAATTTATCAGATAGATGCCATTACCTTTTTCACGAGGTAGAATCTTGTGGGCTTCTCGAATTAATCCATGCGTTAGTGTTTTCTCGAGCCTAGCAAAATAGCTTTGGAAACAAGTTTCTGAGCTCTCTAGGACTCGCAACATTAGTAATATA